TATTTTTAGTAGAGACGGGGTCTCATTCTTGCTCAGGCTGGTCTTGAACGCCTGAGCTCAAACGATTCTCCCACTTTGGTCTCCCAGAGTGCTAGGATTACAGGTGTGAGCCACTGCGCTCGGCCAGCAGGTATGGTTTTGAAGTTACTTAGCTTCTTAACTTCTTCACGTTGTTTCAGTGAAGTGCAAGGGTCCCTGAATATCAGTCTTGTTTGAGCAAATCTGCTTTAGGCCCCTGAGCTCGAGTGCAGGCTTCACTGTCAGTTTTGCAGCTCCTGCACTTGCCCTTTGGTTATCTGGCTGAGCTGAGCCAGACTTCTTGTCCAATCACTTGTTTGCCTCTTTATCTAAAGATAGACGGGGTGGTTGGAGAGTGTCACTATTGTTAACCCCAAAGTGCCATCTCTAAGCTCCTTGAGTAGAGGAAACCTCTGGTCTTCACCCACTCATGTTTAGAAGTCTCCTCATTAGACTAGGTGGGGCTGTCGGTGAATGTGTTTGTTTCTACCCCACCCTCCACCCCATCCTTGCCTGCATCACCACCTCAACACACCAGAATTCTTATTCTCCAAATATTTTTTTTAATTGACTGACCCTATTTCCCTCTCCTTTTGTGATTTGCTTGAGGTCCTGCCTGTACACAACTCCAGCCCTTGGCTGGTTAGAAGGAAGACAGTGCCATCTAAGGAGAGAAGGTCTCCGTCTTTCCTTGGATGGCAGTCCCTGCCTATTAGAAGGGAGAGGAATGGGGTGGGAAGACCCTGACTTCTCTTTTAAGATAGCAAGCTCTCTAAAACATTTTCCTGCTTGATTACACCTTGGTTATGAGCTGTGTGGAGAGTTCTGCTATTTTCCTCTGTAGAGAAGGGGAGTCTGGTGGATTCTGTTAATGAAACCAGTGTCTGACGTTATAACACAGGCATGTGTTTGCTTCCCTCTAGGTAGTGTGCCGTCCCTGGCCGCCGGGCTCCTCTTCGGGGGTTTAGCAGGCCTGGGTGCTTATCAGCTGTCTCAGGATCCAAGGAACATTTGGGTTTTCCTAGGTACGTCTGCTGTCGCCTTAGGGCAGATAAGTATCCAGCATACTCTTTATCAGAAGGCCCTGGTTTGGTGGGATGTGTCAGGTTCTTCATACTTAATGACAGTTTTACTGTTTCTGCCAAGTCCTAAGAAGTTTTAAAATAGGAGGGGATTGTGCTGGTTTCTGTTTATGTTTTCTGTACGTAATATGGAAGGGTTCTCATACCTGATGAATTTATTTACCCAGTAAAATCAGGTTTTGAGGTTGTCCAGTGAAGACTGTCTGCTTCAGCATTTCTAAAATATCATGTGTCTGGGTTAGGCTCGCATTGGTATTGCATTTTTCCCATTTGAAAATCACCTTGTTAGTAGTCAGCTAAATGTGTAAGACGGAGGCCACGCCTTCAAGGAGCTTTCGACTTTATTGGGGAAGTAAGACATGGACATAAAGTGGGACTTTGTGGGACTGGAAAAGCAGCAGGGACCATGGAGGGTGTGGGGAAGGGAAGACCCTTTCTTATCAGCGTGGCCTCTGGTACATTTTCTTGGGCTCCACCTATGTGTCAGACACTGCTAGGGGTGTGGGTTCTCCCTCCACAAACCCACAGGGTGAGAAGGAAGGCAGTGTGGAGGGAGCAGCAGCGTGTTAACAGGTGGTCTGTCCTCGGGGCTGGGAGGTGAGGTTAGCATGGCTGATGGGGGTGTGGGCACAGAGGGAGGGTGGGTCCCAGCTCTGCCTGGTGGCTCCTTCCTCATGCTGCAGAGTGCCTGTCAGCCCACTGTCCCCATCTCTGATCCTGTTCCCCTCCTCAGCAAGTGACCTCACGTAGCCATCGGGGACTCTCTGGAGCCACCAGTCCCCAAGCCTTCCCTTGGCCTGTTTCTCTCCCCAGCAAGGCCAGTTCCTCCATTTGGGCTTGGGTCTTTTCTCCCCCTTCTCCGGCGATTTCCGTCAGCAAGGACTGTGTCTTGGACTTGTATCCCACTTAGGTTGATCCCTCCCATTGACTTTCAGAAGCTCTCATCTCTCACCCCTTTTTTTTTAAAGGACCTCTGTGCCCCCACTTCCTCCCTCAGTTGCTTGCCGTTTCCTTCCCCTTCAGAAACTTCTCTTAAAAACCATTTGTGCTCCTGTCTCTGTTTTCCTGTCTTCGCATATGTGCCGTGTCCGTGTCTGTCTCCTTTCCTGTTCTTCATGGCTGTGGAAGTGGCTCTCCGCTCTCCTGGAGGACGCCAGTGGCCTGGGGTGTACAGAATCCAGTGTATATCTCTCAGTCCTCCTTGTACTTGGCCTGTTAGCTGTCCTCGGCACAGCTGACTGATCATTCTCCTGGTTTTCCATCTTCTCATTCTCTTTTGTTGACTCTTCTTCCTTTCTGGCCATTAAATATTGAAATTCTTCGGGCCCGGCTCCGTTTCATCTTTCACTCTCTCACTTGGTAATGTCATTGAAGCCCATGCTTTTAATCACAACCAATACACACATGGCTCAAAGTTACCTCTCCTCCACGCTGTACTCTCATGAATACAGTTGCCCGCTTGAGATCTTTCAGATGTCAAGGCGTCTGCCTAGCCCTGACCCCGTGATCTCACACACATCCCCTCTTCTGTTCTCCACGCACTCAGGTCTTGGTCGCTTTCTTCCCTCAGCCTTTCCAGTTCATCAGCAGGTCCTGGCAACGCTGCCCCCAGCACGTATCCTGAGCTGTCCTCTTCTCCATCTCCACAGCCACCATCCTAGGCCCAGTTATCCCTCTCCTGCCTGCGTTCCCGAGGAAGTTTCTCGATTGGCATTCCTAGTGTTGTCTAGGTTCCCTGCAGTTTGTTCTTCATGGGCCAGCTAGAATTATATTTTTACAATACAACTCTGTTCACATATATCTCTGCCTAATACCCTCTGATAGCTTCTCATTACTCTTAGGATGAAGACCGGATCTCTGATACGGCCTTCAAGACCCTGTGTGGTCTGGCCCCTCTTCCTCACTAACTGTATCTTGATGTCTGTGCCACACTGGCCTTTTACTTCCTTCAATGTGCCATGCTCCCTCTCACCAGAGGGGCTCGCAGGTACTGTTCCCTCTGCCTGGAACCGGCTTTTCCCCTTTCAGCTCATTAACTCCTGCTGTAATTCCAGAGCTCAGCCCAGTCTTCTTCCTTGACTAAGCCTTGCTTGATCTCCTGAATAGGTTGATCCCACTACTGTGTTTTTTCTGTAGCATTAATTGTACCTATAGCACATACTTTGTTTTAATTTTGTGTGAGTCTTTAAAATCTGTTCCATCAGACGTGAAAAAGAGCAGAGGCTGTTTTTGATGACCAAAACATCTTTTTATTCTCCAGCACCTAGTGTAATGCTGGACATACAGTAGGTGCTTTGATAGATATCTAGTGGGAAGAGTGTGTGGGGTAGAGGAAATCATATCTGCAAGGTGTGAACACCCTTATGGCATTTCTGAGAAAACTAAGATATTGATGGCTGAAGTGTGGGTTTTGTAGAAGAGTAGTGAGAGATGAGGCTAGGAGGGCAGGTGGGGCCCAGGCTGTGCAGGGCCATATTTGGCCAATCTTTATACTTAGACTGGTAGGATGTGGGCAGCCGCCAGGAAGCTCCCCTACCTGGAGAGGGAGGAATAAGCATAGGGTGAGGTCTGGGCCTGGAGAGATAGTGGGACTTTTCCTGCTTCTGGTTTCCCTGCATAGAAGATACAATGACTTTTGACCCTTCTCTTTTGTCTTTTTCATCAGCTACGTCTGGGACCTTGGCTGGCATTATGGGAATGAGATTTTACCACTCTGGAAAATTTATGCCTGCAGGTTTAATTGCAGGTGCCAGGTAATTTCCATTCCATTACTCTCAACCAGTCTAGAGTTCAGTTTATTGCCCAAGATGCTTTATACAAAAACTTGCTTGTTTCAGTAAACGTGATGCTAGGTTAAAATGCAACAATTAACATTATATGATTTACACACGAAAAGGAAGGGCTGCAAAAACATTAGCTGATTTAATGTCAAAGTGGCATAAATATATCCATTCCTGGGGAAATGGCTTTGTTCTCATATTTGCTCTCTGGTCCATCCTGGCTCCTCCCTGCAGTGGCAGAGGCTTTAGTTGAAAGCCAAGACTGCTGTTCTGTGTGTCACTTGCAGGTGGGTTCCACATTTCTTAGTTGTATGGGTGTTCTTTGTTATTGTAAATTTTGCTAAAAAAGAATTTTGATGGAATCCTATTTGTAATTAACTTTGATTATAAAGCCTAAGCCAAATTGTTTTTTTAAAAAGTTTGTCCTTAAGTATAATAAAGACATCCTGAAAGCAGGGGAGATTTAAAAAATCTGTTTCAGTAAAAGATTACGTACTTGACCTTAAATGGTGCTGTCAAGCATAATGTTTTATACTTCAAGCAAAAAAGTCAATGTAGACCAAGGTCAAAAGCAATAAACTGGGAGGCCGGAGATCTGCCATGAATTAGCTCTGTGACCTTGGGGAAGCTTTCATCTCTTGCCTGCAGTTTCTTCATCTCTTCAAATTACGGGGAGTTGGTGCTATTTTAACACCTCAGTGTAAGAAGACTGCCCACCCCTTGGCATGTTTTTTCTTTGGTTCCTCCAGGGATGGAAACTTTATCTCTGACTACTCTGCCTTGGAACCTCCCTCTCAAAGTTGTGAGGGACTTGCAAAGTCCTAGTCCCTTAAAAAAAAAATAGTTGCCTGTTCTGTCCTTTTCCTGACATTTTTTGTCTGTGTATCTTTTAAACAGTTTGCTGATGGTTGCCAAAGTTGGAATTAGTATGTTGAACAGACCTCATCAGTAGTAGTCATGTCCTACCTTGGACTCAAGAAGAATTGAAAATCACTAAACTTCCACTCTTTTCAGTATATTAAGAGAAAAAATGCAGCATTTCTACATACTGTGTGACATTCTACTTAAAAAAAAAAAAAGAAGACACTGAACTTGGTGGGGAGAAAAAAATTCAGTCATTACCATTACAGCCCTACAGAAGTGGCAAATATATAACAGAGGAACTTAATAATACACTCATATGGTTTGATTCTTACATATTGATGTTACATCTTCTTTCTGTATCCAAAAGTAAAATCTCAAGGGGTAAAATCTTAGGTGTCAACAATGGGGGCCCTGAAACCTCATACCCTGCTCAGAGGAACAGTATGAAGAAAATCTCTTATGAGATTTAGGATATCTGTTCTTTCGCTCATCTGAGAGCACAGACCTACTTTGAAATTATGTTAAATGAAATATGAATGAAATAAAGTTTACTATAAATATTTTCTATGGTGTCTTCATTGCCAGCACTGTCTAGAACATAGAATGAGATATGGATAGCAAGAAGATACAGAAAAATGAACATATTTTCTTAATATTATACTTAGAAATTACCCACTTTGAAAAACTTAAGGAACATGGAAAGTTACTATTTGATTTTATATTGCATTGAGGATTATTTTAAAAATGATCTGTGAAGATTTCTAAGGTTAGGACTGGGTACAGAATTTTGTTAACTAATGTGAAACTGACTTTTCTAGAGCTTGAATCACCTAGTTTGGTCTCTACATTGGATACCTTAACTGGGTAGTGGTACCCTTTCACTTTTTTTTCCAGCATTAAGAATTAACTCAATCTGGTACCCCTTGCTTTTTCTTTCCCTGTTTAAAAAGGAAAGGATATTTGCTACATACCTCTACCCTAATTGGTATTGGTTAAGAGCATAATTCAGGCCCTTATTTTATGTATTTGCTTAAGCTCCTTCAAAGTGGTCCTAGCTTGCGTGCACACACACACATACTTGGCTGCTGACAAGGACACTTGTGATGGGATAGGCCATCCAAAGCTACCATCCTCCTTAGCTTCCATAGATAACATTTTGAATTGTAATGCTGGCCCTGGTTTTTCCATTTGTCCTGGAGTGTTTCCAAAGGGCACCCAAGTGGGCCATCGTCAGTCCTAAAGGAGAGACCCTGAATGACAATGTTCCCTGAAGGTAGGAATTGGCTTAGTTGCAAAGTAGATCCCTGTGTGACTACTGATCCCCAGTATTCAGTTTTGAAACTCGCCTGGCAGCACTGATAACAACTTTGCTAAGACCCCTTCTCCCTTTCCCTGCAAAGATTCCTGAGTCTTTACTGTTCTAAGGATTGTGCTGAGTCCTAGAAGTGCAAACAAGCCGTGGTGCTTGCCCCAGTCTAGTGGAGGCAGCTGGCCTCTAAACAGATAAATGCAGGATAGAAACAAGTGCGCAACAGGTAGATTCACATTACTCTGGGGGCACAAGGAAGAGTCAGGGTGGGCTTTACTGAGGAAGTGATAGTTAAGCTGAGCCTTGAAGGGTGAGGAATTGATAGACAAGGACAGGAGTAAATGTTGCAGGTGGAGGAAAACAGCCTCACAGGCATGAAAGTATCTGGCACAACTGGGTAAAAAAACACCCTTATTTGGACATGGAGACCTAATTCTTTTTAATGGCTTTTTAATAGTATGGATGTTTACTATTTAATGTACCATTTCCCTACTGATAGCAAAAGGCTTTAACCACTTCGGGACCAGCGTCGACTGTAGTCGACAGCCACAGATGAACGCGCACAGCGACTTTAGCCGACAGCCGTGATATGACTTTTCTAATTTTTCATTTATCAAAATAAAATTGTGAACATTTAAAAATAACATAATGAAAACATATATGTATATATTATTCTGATTTACATTACAAGTAAAGCTGCCTGTAAAGTAAAACAAGCTTGCAGTGCTTTAAAGCTTTCCTCGTCACACAAGAGCAAAAGGGATTTGTCGTCAATGCACAGCACAAACGACTGTGCGGACTGTGAGTGCCGGCTGTGGGCAAGGTTTCACGGCTGGTGAGCATGGTCCCGAAGTTGTTAAACAAGAACATCAGTAAATGCACATATGCAAATGAGTCTTTAGGTTACATTCCTAAAATCTAAGTCAAAGGATATGAGCATTTCAAATTGTGATCCTCTAAGGAAGAGGTTGTACCAATTTAAACTTCCACCGATATTGATCAGAAATTTTGTTTTTCTGCCTTTGCTAATATTGTGTAATCAGATTTTTTCATCTTTGACAAATCAAGCTAGGAGTCTGTAAACTTTTCTGTAAAGGGCCAGACAGTAAATATTTTAGGCTTTACAGGCCATAGTCTCTGTCCCAACTGCTCAACTCTGGTGTCATAGAGCAGAAGCAGCCACAGACAGCACATAAACAAAACAAGTGTGGCTGTGTTCCAACAAAACTATATATGGACCCTGAAATTTGAATTTCATACAATTTCCACATACCACAAAATAATCATCTTATTTTTTTCAATCATTTAGAAATGTAAAAACCATTCCTAGCTTGTTGTCTGCACAAACACAGGCAATCGGCTAGATTTGGTTCACTGACTAACAATGCCAGCCCCCGATTTACACCAAAAATGTTACCTAATGGTCCTAATTATTTAGTCTTGAGTTATTAAGAAACTTTTCCTATATTGATCATCTGTGATTATCTTTTTCTGAGAGCTGCCCTTTTATATCTTTTGTCCATGTTTTTGGTTTTTGATTTTCTTATTGAAAACATTGAGACTCTACAGTAAAAATGTTCTTTATCATATATATTGAAGATATTTTCCTCTGATTTATTATTGTCTTTTGATTTTGTTTATGGGTTTTAATTTTGTTTTGCAGAAATTAAACATTTTTATGAAATCGAATTTATATGTTTTCTCTATGGCTTTCAGATTCTGTGTCTCCCTTAGGAAAGCATTTCAAATTTCAGGATTATAAAATGAAATTCTCATATTTTCTTTCAATACTTTTGCAGTTTTTTAAGGTTTCTATCTTTTAAATTTATTAACAAATACTAAGTGTGCATATTTATGGGGTACAATGTGATGTTTTAATTTGCATATATCATAGGAAGATTCAATCAAGCTAATTAACATTTAGCACCTTGCCAACTTATTTATTTTTTTTGTGGTGAGAACATTTCCACTTTTAACACTACTTTAGAATTCATTTTTTGTGTGATGGTGCGAATTAGGGATCTGATTAAATAATTCTCTCTTAAAAATAGCTGTTACCTCAATATTATTTATTGAATAGTGTATCTATTCCTTGTTGCTTTGAAATGCCACATTTACCATGTACTGAATTTCTATATTTAGGATTGATTTTGGGGGTTTTCTAGTCTCTTCCATGGATTTATTTATCTTCTGTCCCTGTGCCAAATTGTATTAATCACTGTAGCTTTATACTATATTTTGATATTTGGCAGAGCAAGTCATTGTTACTTTTCAGATTTTTCTTGACAGTTGCTTTTCCAGATAAATCTAGAATTAGTCTTTTAATTAACCTGGGATCTTATGATTGCATTGAACTATAGATAAACTGAAGTGGGGAATTGAAAGCTTTAAAATATTTACTTGTCAATCCAGGAGCATTATATGTCCCTTCATTTAATTCAGGGTTTTTTTTTTAATGTTTTAAAATATTTTAGAACTTTATTCATATAGTTCTTTTCATTTTTAGTAAGATTATTGTGGGGTACTTTATAGTTTTCTTATTATCAATGGAAACTTTTTTCAGATATTTCCAATTAGGTATCAATCTGAACAAAATGAATTTCTGCACTAATGTAAATACTTCCATCAACTCACTCAAGCACATTTATTTGCCTTAGGTTTTTATTAGCTACTCTTTATTGGTCCTATGGCTTTATGCTAAAGTTAGAAGTAACAGGTTGTTTGCTAGCACTGGCAAGATTCAACATAGTTCTAGAGATATTAGACAAAGAAACAAGAAATAAATGAGAGGTATAAAGTAATAGAAAAGGAAATAAACACTTTTAATAGCTGATGTAATTATCTAGAAAATCTAAGACAATCAACTAAAAACCTGTTGGAACTAATAAAGATCCATAAAGCAGCAAGGAACAAGGTCAACACCAAAACCAATAGCTTTCTACCAACAGCCGTCATTAATTCTCTCCCATACCATTGCTAATACTCAGGTGTCCAACTGTCACCATCTTTTACCTGGTTATTTAATCTAATAGGACTCCATGTTTTTTATGATTCAGCCCTGTAATTCATTCTCTGCCTGGTAGGCAGATGCATATTTCAAGTATAGACTCTTAGACTTAAAACTACTCAGTGGTCTCACTACTACATTTATATCTCCTTTAGTCTCTCTGTAACATCCTGTTCTTTTTCTTAATAGCACCTGTCACAGTTTGCAAATATACAAGTTTTTGTGTGTTTTTAGTTAATGTCTGCCTCTAGACTATAGGGCAGGGAAAACAACTCTTTTGTTGTTACCATATACATTATACTTAGTACATAGTAGGCACTTTAGTAAATATTTGCTGATTAGATCAAATATTTTTAAAGATATTGTTTTTTTAGAGCAGTTTTAGATTTGCTGAAAAATTTAGCCATTTAGCCATTTGCCATTTAGCTATTTAGTCATTTGCTGAAAAATCAGCCATTCAGCCATTTCTCCATTGTACCTTTTATTGGACAGTGGTATTAGAAACCACATCTGGGTGCTAGGTAAGGTTGTTGCCACTGGGGTAAAATCTACTTTTTTTATTTCAGTATTTTATACTTTTATCTTTAATCCCCTTTTTACTTTTTAACTTATATTTGTCTAGTTTCTTAAGCTTAAGTGCTCAAATTCAGCATATTTTCAGTGTTCCTTGTTTTTTTCACAAATGGATCAAGTATATAATTTTTTTTCTCTGAGATCTGTTTCGGCTGAATATTACAAGCTTTAATATAGAGTTATATCATTGTCCATTTCTAAAGGGTTTTTCATTTCAATTTTGATTAAGTGTATTAAGTATATTTTTGAATTATTTTTGATTAAGTATATTTTTGAATTTTTAAGTGGATGGATTTGGGGAGCATTACTGTTATGTTCTAGTTTTATTACACTGTTGGAAGAGAATATAGCCTATATATTTCTAAATTTGAGTTTGAGATTTTATTTGTAGCCTAAAATAGGGTAAAATTTTTTGGAATATTACATGTGTTTGAGAGAAATGTGAAGTTCTATATGCTATCTATTTGATAAAGTTCATTTACTGTTATTAACGGTTCATTTACTTATTTTAGGTCTCTAGATCTGTTTTCCAAGAAAAACCTCCCACTCTGATCATGAGTATACCAGTGTCTTTCTGTGTTTATGATAAATCCTTGCTTTATATATTTACATTGTTTTAACATTTTAATTAGAAAATTTTCAAATCTATAGAAAAGTTTCAGTGTTATTCATGAGCATCCGTATGCCCTTAACCTAGTTCACCAACTCACCAATTGTTAACATTAGGCATATCCTTTCTCTTCCCTTTTCTCTCTCAAACGCACACATGTGTGTGCATACACATGAACATACACAAACACAGATGAAAAATACTCAACAAAATATTGGCAAACCAAATCCAATAATGTATAAAAAGAATCATACACCACAACCAAGTGGGATTAATCCCAGGTATGCAAGGCTAGTTCAACATTTGAAAATCAGTTAATGTAACCATCACATCACCAGGCTAAAAAGAAGAAAAATCACATGGTCACATCAATAGGTGCAGAAAAAGAATTTGACAAAAATCAAAACACCCAGCAAACTAGCAACAGAGAGGAACTTTCTCAATTTGATAACACATCTATAAAAAACCTACAGCTAACATCATACTTAATGGGGAGAAACTAGATGTTTTCCCCATTAAAATCAGAAACAAGGCCGGGCGTGGTGGCTCACGCTTGTAATCCTAGCACTCTGGGAGGCCGAGGCAGGCGGATTGCTCAAGGTCAGGAGTTCAAAATCAGAAACAAGGTAAGGCTATCTACTCTCACCATTCCTATTCATTATACTGGAAGTCATAGCTAATGCAGAAAGACAATAAAAGGGAGTAAAAAGTATACTATACTGATTAGGAAGGAAGAAATAAAACGTTTTGCTTGCAGATGACATGACTATACAAAACCTGAAAGAATCAACAAAAAACTCCTGAACAAATAAGTGATTATAGCAAGTATTAGGATATAAGATTAATATACAAAAAGTAAATTGCTTTTTTATATACTAGCAATGAACAATTGAAATTAGAAATTAAAAATACAATACTGGCTGGGTGTGGTGGCTCATGCCTGTAATCCTAGCACTCTGGGAGGCCCAGGCAAGAGGACGGCTTGAGCTCAGGCGTTTGAGATGAGCCTGAGCAAGAGTGAGACCCTGTCTCTATTAAAAATAGAAAAAATTAGCTGGGTGTCATAGTGCATGCCTACAGTCCCAGCTACTTGGGAGGCTGAGGTAGGAGGATCACTTGAACCCAGGAGTTTGAGGTTGCATAAAGCTATGATGCCACCACTGCACTCTACCCAGGGCAACAGAGCTAGACTCTTGTCTCAAAAAACAAAAACAAAACAAAAAATCTAAATAAATAGGGAGACATTCTACATTCACAGATGGAAAGACACAATGTTCAGACACAATTGTCAAGATGTCAGTTGTCCCCAGCTTGATCTAGATTCAATGAAATCCCAATCAAAATCCAAGTAGGTTATTTTGTGGATATCGACAAGCTGATTCTACAGTTTATATGGAGGAGTAAAGGACCCATAATAGTCAACACAACATTGAAGGAAAGAAATAAATTAGGAGACTAACAGTACCCAACTTCAAAACTTTTATAAAGCTACAATAAACAAGACAGTGTTGGTATTAATGAAAGAAGAGACAACTAGATCAGTGGAACACAATAGAGGACCCAGAAATGGGCCCACCTAAATACAGTCATCTTTAAACAAAGCAGAAAGGCAATTCAATGGAGAAAGTAAAACAAATGGTGCTGGAACAACTGGACATTGACATGAAAAAAAAAATCAAGACACAGAACTTACGCCTTTCACAAAAACTAACTTAAAACAGATCACAAATCTAAATGTAAAATGCAAAACTTATTATAAAACTCCTAGAAGATGCCATAGGAGAAAATCATAGGTGACCCTAGATTTGGTGGTAATTTTTTATGTACAATATCAAAAGCACAATTCATGAAAGAAAAAAGTGTTAAGTTAGACTTCATTAAAACTAAAAACTGCTCTTTGAAGCACACTATCAAGAGAATAAAAAGAGAAGCCACAGACTAGGAGAAAATATTTACAAAAGACATACCTGATAAAGGACTGTTATCCAAAATAAACAAAAAACTCTTAAAACTCAACAATCAGAAAATGAACAATTACAAAAATAGGCAAAAGATCTGAACAGACACCTCACTAAAAAGGATATACAGATGGCAAATAAGCATATGAAAAGATGCTCAACATGCCATCAGAGAGTTGCAAATTAAAATAACAGTGAGATACCACTACATACCTATTAGAGTGACCAAAATCCAAAACACTGGCAACACCAAACACTGGCCAGGAAGTGGAGCAACTGGATCTCTCATTCACTGCTGAGGGAATGCAAAATGGACAGCCACTTTGAAAGACAGTTTGGCAGTTTCTCACAAAACTAAATATACCCTTACCATAAAATCCAGCAATCACGCTCCTTGATATTTCTCCAAATGAGGTGAAAACTGATGTCCATGAAAAAACATGCACATAAATGTTTATAGCAGCTTTATTCATAATTGCCCAAACTTGGAAGGAATCAGGATGCCCTTTCTTCTGTAAGCGAATGGAAAAACAAACTCTGGAATATCTATACAATGAAATATTATTCAGTAATAAACATAAATGAACTAACAAGCCAAGATAATACATGGAGGAACTTTAAATGCATATTGCTTAAAGAAGCCAGTCTGAAAAGTCTGCATGTGATTCCAACTATATGACATTCTGCAAAAAGAAAAACTATGAAGATAGTAAAAAGATGATTAGTTACCAGGGCTGAGGGGAGGGAAGGGTGAATAGGGGGAGCACAGAGGATTCCCAGGGTAGCAAAACTTCTGTATGATACCATGATGGTGGATACATGTCATATATTTTGTCAGAACCCATAGAAAGCATAACACAAAGAGTGAACCCTAATGTGAAATATGAACTTACTATTTTACTAAATATTACTGGTTCGATGGTTTTAACTAATGTACCACACTACTAATGCAAGATGTTAATAATAGGGAAAATTGGGGAGGGAGAGATGAAGGGGTGTAAGAAAACTCTCTGTACTTTCTGATCAATATTTCCATAAGCCTAAAACTACTTTTTTAAAAGTCTAATTAAAACAGCAACAAAAATAGACTTAGGGTATAAAGTTTAAAAATGTAAAGAAAACACACTAGTTATCTATATTTACTTTAATATCTATTCAGAGTTTAAATGTTTCCCAACAACACAAAAGACGTTTTTAGCTTTGAGATATTAAACCATACAAATACATACAACTGTTACCACTAGGATAAATACTCTTTAGATTTTAACATTTTTCAACATCTGAAATCTGAATAGCTGAATCTTCTATACAAAAATACCATATTATTATTATTTTATAATTTGCCTTTAGATAATGTCGACAAGATGATGCCACCAATTACATTAGCATTTGTTACAAAGTCATGAAATACATAAAATCCCAGTAGTCGATGACATTATTATTCTTTAAAAAGAATAGACAGTACTAGTATCCAGTCCATAAAGTGGCAGGTTTAAATAGAATAGTCCTGAGTTCAAAACATCTATTTCAAATACTAATTTAGAAATAAAACTAAGGAAAAAAATATATGTACTTTGTGAAACCACCGCTATAGCAGCTGAACGCATTTGCTCTGGAGCAAATGTGAAGGTCAGAGCTGAGTCAGTGACCTGCAGCAGCACGAGTTGGCTTGGAGGGAGCAGCTGGCACGTTTCATCTCTGTGTCCTTTACAAACACAAACAACATATTTTGGAAGTCTGATGAACAAACATTAAATGCAGTTTTAAGAACCAACTTGATGTGAAGAGGAGAAAACCCTGACTTGGTTAATATGGAAGCCATCAAGCCTTTGTGTTTGATAGTCACCATGAATACAGTGCAGTTGTGTTGGACAAGAACAGACAGACTCTTTCTCCACATAAATCAGGTGGCATAATTTGGATATTCTCTATGTTAAAGATAAATTCATTTCTAAGAAAGACATCCAGCTCAAGATCGGCATTACCATTGCTCCCACAGCTTCAAAGTAGACAACAAATGATGATTGCAGTCTTTCTGTCACTGCCGAAGTGGCAGAGCAGAGCCTTTGCCAATTAAGAACCACAGCAGACAGCCCACAGAGGTCGGCCTAGTTGCTGTGAAGAAATACAACAAAAAACAAACCTCTCAGGCCAATCACTGCAAACTCGGACGACATGTAAAATCATTTAGGCAAATATACAACAAATGAAAACTATAGCACTCTGAACACTTTCTGGAGACATTTTTTTTTAAAAAGTTTCTTCTATACTTACTATCTATTAATTTATAGATCAAATACCTGATACTTTGGCAAACAGTTTATTCAATACTTTGTTAAAGTCCTACTCATATATCAGTACTGTGAGCAATGATGCCAAGAAAATGCATTTCATTTCTCAGAAAGAAATAAAATAGGAGATGATTTTTGCTCTTCCAAGTACCCACTATTGCATATTTCTTCCAGAACTCAGTAGAAATAGACATCTGTAGACATTTCCCAGGGCCAGTGAACTTGCACGCGCTCTATGAGGCAATGCTGCAGGACTTCACACCGGGGAGTTCTACCGGTGGCCGCCATACTTGGCCACCCAGTCTGTCCTCCCATGCACTGAGGGAACTGGCTGTGCTCGGTTCATGATATTTAGGTTCTTTGCTGTAGGATGGTAAGTAGGTCCTGAAAACTGCCCCTGACCAGCTTTTGTGTTCCAGGTATATTCTGAAAGAAATCAGAACTAGATATTAGGATTTTATTATTTTTTATTATCAAATTCAAAATAAAGCAATTCATTCTCTCATTTTATGGGTAAAATTTGAATTTATCTTTAAAAGATTAATTCAGTAGTCTCTGAGATTTTTAAAATTCTAAGTCCTCAAAATTCTAGTGTAGTATTATATTGACACTTACTAGAATTTTCAGTAGCTTAAGAGCCGGTATTTCCAGTTTGTAGTTCTGACACTGCTGGTATTTCCAATATTTAACATTTGGATAGGAACACCAAGTAAGATGACCAAGAGAAATTCTTGGTTCAATTTCAATGGGCAACACCCAGAGTGTTCATGACTTTGTAACATCACACTGTGGTTACAGCTAAATAATGTATTTGGAATTGTGAAGCTATAAAACTCTGGCTTCATGGAGCTAAATGTATGGGATCCTACAATAGATTTCTTTTTAAAAGTGAAAATGTGGTTTTTAGAATCAAGAAATTTCATTTTTCATTGGGAAAATTATGGTTGATAAAACAAAGCCATAAAACAGTAACCCATTTCTAGGATCCCAAACCTTTAATCACAAGTCTTGTTTTAGTCATACATTTGACTGCTTAAAAATCGGTGAAAATTTTAAAAATTTGTTAAACATTTGTTATTTGAACAATTTATAAGCTAACATTGCAAATGACAATGCAGTAAATCATTTCACAGGGAACTTTGATGTCTTTTTCCGTCCCTCCATGCCCTTCTCACACCAAATTGAGAGGTTGGTATCACATGTGTTCTATCTGAGGAGGATGTTTGATTTTTCCATTTGGGATTTAAATATCTTTTCACACTGTGCTGTAGCTGCCATTCTTAGATTAAACTCTAAGAGGCAATACTGAAATGAATCTGACTGTACCCTTAGCTCAGCTCTACCATGTTTACTGGCATGGTTTCCCAGTTTTTCTTAGACTTTCACTGTAGAACTGGGAATTATGTGAGTTCGAGGTCTTGATGTGCTGCTAACCTCAGTGTTAAGCAAGCAAGGCATTACGTGCAAACACCCTGGGTAAGACAGTGCCTGGCTGCTGCTTAGTTTGGTTGGGGCAGGACAGACAAGAGCTCTCCCTTCTGTGGTTTCATAGGTCATTTCATCCCACTCTAACTGGGATTAAAATTCTCAGAGTCAAGACCACTACAAAGTTATCTAACAAAGGCTGGGACAAGGTATCTAGAGGGGCCAGTTAAGGCGCCATGTTTTCCAAGAACCGCCACTGGAATATAAACAGGCACCATCTGTTAAACGGGAGGGCCACCCGTCAACATGGTGCCATGGGCTGGAGAGAGAGTGCGAGGGGAGTGAGGGTCAGAGAGAGAGGCAGAAAGCCCAGATAATTCAGAGAAGGGGAAAGAGAACACAGCCTTAAGCTAACAGGCTCATAGGGTAAGAAGTGAGGAGTTTGGGGAGTAACAAAAAGAGCAGCTTTTTGTTTAGGTCGTGACGTAGCTTCAGTCAAGTCCTAAACACATTTAAATGAAACTGTATCCAGGCCAGAATTTTGTAAAACTTCTTTGAAGAGGGAATCATTTTGCTAAGAAGGTAGTAGTGTTGAGATTTAGGAGTCCTTTCCTAGAAATAATAGGGTTTTAGGACGCAAGAACCCTTGGTGAAGAACCCAATGGCTGACAAAGGAGCCCAGATCTCGTGGCAGGGCAAGAAATGCTTTTGTGCCTTAGTCAGACCACCTACACATTGCAGTTAGCTCTGCAATGCTTGCCATGTGTTTAATTTACAAAACTGCATTTGTCCTATGGCGGGCATTTAACTTCTTATAGAAAATGTGTGCTAAAGGAAGGGTTTGCCTCTAGCTATGGATTTAATCAATGCCATTATGATGTAACTTTTTGCAAGATATAAAACTTTTGTGAGATGGAGATGATCTATAATAAAGCCCTGGGAAGATTACGTGAGTTAATGTACACTGAGTGCTTGGAACAGGGCCCTGCACATCTAAAAGGTGCGCCATACATAGAAGTCACTCCTTGAAGTCCTTGTAACTTTCAAAGCTGGGGATGTGGAGATATTAGGAGGTTTGGAAGGAGAGATTACACCGGGTGGAAGTCATTAATTTGATTTTCCTTCTCAAAATGAGAGAAAGAAAAGCAAAGACTATGTGAAGAGGGGGAAATAATTGAGTAAATACGGTAATGACCTGGTTTTAATTTCTTGCAGGAAATTGTCACCCAAGTGGGAGGACTGGAAGACATAGCTCTTACAGAACAGTGTTTTCCTAAGGATTTGCTTTGACCACTGGAGAGTGATTAATATTTACTTCTTTTTTTTTTTTTTTTACCTCTCGTCCTATCACGGTCTGTAGGAAAATCTGATAAGCAGAGTAAATGAAGAGATGAAAAGTTATGAGACAGCATTTACTTAAAAAAAAGAAACAGAAATATGCATGCTAATCCAACAGAATAATTAACATATAAAGGTCTTTAATATCTTACAAAAAATATTTTAATAAGATCCATTCTCAATTACTAAGAGCAGGTCAGCACCCAGATAACAAAATAATCTGAAACATTATGATTTTCTGTTTTTGTATTAAAAATTGCTAAGTCATTGTAAGACTGGCTTAAAATATTTAAGGCTTTATAAAAACCACTGCTGTACATAAAATACTTACTTATATTTTTGTTTCAGCAAAGACAATGAAGCAGTCCTTTTCACAGATAAGGTAACTGAATATTGTTTCCTTTTAGCAGTTTTACAGGGGTAAGATATAAAAAAGTAAAGAAATCCAGTGCTTTTCTCCATTTTTAGCTCCAATAGCATGAATGGTAAAGACTGGCAACTCTATTCAGGAGTTTTAATATAAGATCCTGATTAGGATAGGCTGTGCAAATACTTTCAGAGTCAACTTTTATTTTTTTTATTTCAGCATATTATACGGTTACAAATTTTAAGGTTTCAAAAAATGCCCTTACCCCCCCACCCCCCACAAGTCTGAGCTTCAAGCATGACCATCCCCCAGATGGTGCACATCTTACTCATTATGTATGTATATACCCACCTCCCTCCCACCTCCCACCCGCCCAACACCCAATTAATGTAGTTCCTATGTGTCTACTTAAGTGCTGCTCAGTTAATACCAGCTTGCTGGTGAGTATATGTGGTGCTTAGTTTTCCATTCTTGGGACACTCCACTTAGTAGTATGGTTCCAGCTCTATCCAAGAAAATACAAGATGTGCTATATTACCGTTGTTTCTTAGAGCTGAATAGTACTCCATGGTATACATATACCACATTTTATTAATCCACTCATGAACTGATGGGCACTGGGGTTGTTTCCACAGGTTTACAATTGTGAATTGTGCTGCTATAAACATTCGAGTGCAGGTGTCTTTTTTGTAGAGTGTCACTGGATCTCTTAGGTAGATGCCCAGTAATGGGATTGCTGGATCAAATGGTAGATCCACTTGTATCGCTTTAAGGTATCTCCATATTGCTTTCCACAGAGGTTGAACTAGATTGCAGTCCCACCAGCAGTGTAGGAGTGTTCCTATCTCTCCACATCCATGCCATCATCTATTGTTTTGGGACGTTTTGATCAAGGCCATTCTTACTGGAGATAAATGATTATCTCATTGTAGTTTTGATTTGCATTTCCCTGATCATTAGAGATGTTGAGCATTTTTGCATATGTTTGTTAGCCATTATTCTGTCTTCTTTAGAAAAGTTTCTGTTCATGTCCTTTGCCCACTTTTTGATAGGGTTGTTTGATTTTTTTCTTGCTGATTTTCATGAGTTCTAAGTAGATTCTAGTTATCAGCCCTTTATCAGATGTGTAGGATGCAAAAATTTTCTCCCATTCTGTAGGTTGTCTGTTTACTTTCATGACCATTTCTTTGGCTGTGCAGAAGCTTTGTAGTTTGATCATGTCCCATTTATTTATTTTTGTTGCTGCTTTGATTGCTTTTGGGGTCTTCTTCATAAATTCTTTTCCTAGGCCGATGTCTAGGAGAGTGTTTCCAACATTTTTCTCTAGAATTCTAATAGTTTCATACCTTAGGTTTAAGTCTGTTATCCAGCGTGAGTTGATTTTTGTGAGAGGTAAAAGCTGTGGATCCTGTTTCAGCCTTCTACAAGTGGCTATCCAGTTTTCCCAGCACCATTTATTGAAAAGGGATTCTTTTCCCCAGTGTATGTTTTTGTCTTTGTCAAAGATTAGATTGCAATATGAGAATGGTTTTATATCAGGGTTCTCAGATCTGTTCTACTGGTCAATATTCCTATTTTTGTGCCAATACCATATTGATTTAATTACTACAGCTTTGTAGTATAGTTTGATATCTGGCATGTTAATACTCCCCATTTTGTTTTTATTGCCTAGAATTGCTTTTGATATGCGGGGTCTTCTCTGGTTCCAAACAAAGCACAAAATTATTTTTTCCATATCTGTGAGAATGATGATGGGATTTTAATAGGTACTGCATTGAATCTGTAGATCAGTTTGGGTAGTATAGACATTTTAACGAAGTTGAGTCTGCCAACCCACGAGCATGGTATGGATTTCCATTTGTTTACATCCTCTGTTATTTCCTTCCTCAGTGTTTCATAGTTCTCATTGTAGAGGTCTTTACCTCCTTGGTTAAGTATATTCCTAGGTACTTTATTTTTTTGTTGCTATTGTGAAGGGTATTGAGCCTTTGATTTGGTTCTCACTTTTATTGCTGTTGGCGTATATGAATGCCTCTGATTTCTGTGTATTGATTTTATAGCCTGAGACTTTACTAAATTCATTTATCAATCCCAGCAGTTTCTTGGTTGAATCCTTGGAGTTTTCTAAATATAGTATCATATCATCTGCAAAGAGTGAAAGTTTGATCTCTTCTGCCCCAATTTGGATACCTTTAATTCCACTGTCCTGTCTGATTGCTATAGCCAGGACTTCCAGCACTATGTTGAATAGAAGTGGAGATAATGGGCAGCCTTGCCTGGTTCCAGTTCTAAGTGG